GTCAGCCTTCATCAAATCCACTTTTCTCTTCTTTTTGATTAAAGAATCTGTTTAGGCCTTTGGATATGAGACTGGGCACGCAGCATTTTGGGTGACCGGAAAAACCTTACCCTCAACCATTTACCCTATCTCTGTGTCACTTGTGAAGTTTAAATTTAGCCTGGCTGCATTGGCTTCCTAAGGTCTCAGCGTGAGGTAGATAGGGAGAAGTCAAGGCTTCCGGGGCTGTCAGTCAAAGGCGGGTCGATGCAGAGGCTTTGTGTGTCAATAGGAGATGCTATCCTCACATGTAGCTCACCTTGAGGCAGTGGACCGTGCTGTAACTCAGCTGCATTCAATACAAGTACTGAGAATGAGTTTCGTCGCACAAACTCAATGCAGGCACATTTTAGTCTTTTAGTCTGTCACAACAAATCAGCATTGCAAATTATAGTCATCATCCCAAAAACGCGCTTTGTTTGGTAGCATCCTGTCACCCTCAAATTACCTCTCTGTGTAAGTCTCCAAATACTAAAGGTGTTTTGTTAAAGTCCTACCCTGCTATTAGAAAGAGCTTGAAGACATTTAAATGAGTATTTGGATTCTCACACAATATCTTCACAAGAATGTTTTCCTCAGCTGCCACTGTTATAAAATGGATAGTGTCCTGGAGAAATTGCAGTGCAGCATTTTCACTGTGGGAGGTCCCATTTCAAATGAAACCTCCACCGCACATACTGACAATTTCCTTCGCAGGGCATGGTGGTATTTTTAACTGACAAGTCTTTTTCAATCAAAACTTACACGGAGAGTTTATGTGACCTCAGAGTCAAATCGCCAACTAGAAGGTCGCTTCCAGACACTTTTTCACATAAAAAGATCACTATTTAATTGTGTGTTTTTGGAGGATGCATTACTTGTGTCATTTGTCGTCTTTGACTCTTCCGCAGGTTTTGACCCCTCCGCTAACTAATTCAAATAGAGAAGCGCAGATGAAGGCTGTTTAATAAAACATTGCCACTTGGGGCCTAACAGTCCTCACTCTCCCTTTACAAGTCATACTCTCATTAATTCATGAATTCATGCAATCATCTCCCTATTTCCCCAAACCGCCGTGCTCTTTGGAAACTGTCTGTCAGGAGTCTGGAGGGAGAGACCTGAGAGGGGACACAGGACAGGGATAAAAGAGGAAAGAATAAAAGAGGGAATATGAAAGACGAGAAGTATGATGTCACTGCCTCCTGGATATATGATGTCATTTATTAAGACTTTTCTCATATTTCTAATCCAACCTCACACCAGTCCAAGTTTGATCATTTCATTCATTCTACTTTGATGTCTGACAGTGAGTTTCTAAGGTTCTGTATAACTCTAAATGGACTCTTGTGAGCATTAAGCCATGTTATAAAGTTTACCTCCACAAAATATTCCTGGATTTGTGTTTTGTTTCTTTCACACATGTTTGAGTAATCCTTTATTATTAGTTTGTCTACTTCTCCAAAGCTCAAAATGCTCCATTCCACATCATGATGTCATGTAGTTAATGTTTTTAAGTTAACAGTGCCCGTTACCTTTAGTTCTGGAGAGATGGACAATTCCAGGGCTGAGATTATCCAAATTATTCTAGTGAAGGTTTATGGAGTTTAAAAACAGTGGATCCCTTCCTGTATTACTACATGACATCATGAAGTGGATTAAAGTGTTTTCTGTTTGAGGGCCAGTTTACACAAGAACGCTTGCGGGTAAAAACAACAAAATATTTTATCGGAAGTGCCTTTTGTTTAGACTGTGATGGCGCATTTGGAGCTTAAATACGCAAAAATCTGAAACCACCCTCCAGAGTGGAAAAATTAATTACACCCCACCATAGCGTTTCTGTTTGCACTGCCCAAGACGCAGAACTCTGATCAGATCTGCTCACGTCGCGTACGCGTTTACGTCACGTACATCACCACCATCGAATTCCACACACTTTTGCGTCACCGTATGCACGCAGATTTTCTCCCGAAAACACTCGTCTAAACGCGGAATAAAAAGTGAAGACGCGATGCCACTTTTGCGTCTTGCGCCTGGTTTGTGCGTTTATCATGTGTGTAAAGTATCAAAGTTTCTCGATATTATCTATATATTATCTTTCTGCGGTTAGTCAAGGAACCTTGCAGAGAGAGCTTTGTGAGAGGCTGATTAGTGAAAGTGAATGTTCCGACACACACGCATACACACACACATATACACACACACTGAGGCTGAGTGCTGACACTTCACTGGTGCCAAACACAATACAAGGTCATCGGCTTATTATCACCCACCTCGTCTTGTCCCCTCCTGCGCCTCTCTCACTCACACATTAGCACCCACTGACTCCGTCTATGTCGGCAATTTTACATAAATTTCAAACCATCGTCTCACCCCACTTTTTTTTCCTATAGCAACTTTATTCCTTCCCATTTTATTATTGTATGCTATTTTTTGGCAGGGTGCATTTAAATTCTTCATCATAATACTGCTCTCATATTCCTCCCACTCATGTCTGTCATTTGCACAGTGTCATTATGAGTGGCAGTGCAGAACATTTCGAGACAACACTAACTTTGCTGCTAGCAAAACTGGCTGCTACTCAAGATGTAGCCTCTGTTGCAGCTGTATGCAGTGAGAAAAGAGAAGGTGATAATAAAGTGGAGTGTTGTTTGGGATGTTGGAGCGAAGTAGAGTTGCATTTTGTATTTGATACTACTAGAACCAAACTTGTTATAAATATAGAGCATGCATAGTGTCATATCATTAAAAGCATAATTCTGAAAAGTTGGAGCTAAAATAAAGTAGAGTAGAATAAATTAATACTTTGCAGCTAAAGTCATCAACATTCCCAAGGGGTGTGCAGCTAACTAAAAGCACTACTCTGTTTGAAGCTCCGTTACTCAAGTTAGATTTAATCTGAGCTTTATTTTAACACAGTCTGACAAGAAAGAACTGACTTTGTTGGAACTACAACAGGTGAGAGGATGTGTGCTCTTAAACAAGTCTGTCACACATGAAATACAGTCACGAGCTACCGGCATTAACCAGTTTTCAGTGAGTCACTCTGACCTTTTCTGTTGAAAATCAAAAACTTAAACAAAACCATGAATGCTTGTTTTCTCAAGGTCCTGAAAATGTGTTGTTTAAATCCATTTGTACTTTTTCTTGAGTTTTCAGGCTATCTTAAAACTTTTTTTTTTTTTGTCTGCATTTGCTTAAGTTTGCATTGCGTCACCATGGTAACCATTGAACATTCCACCAATAGAGATATGTAGAACATCACCAGCATGATGCCACTGCAAAGTATCAATTAGACAAGCAAATGACACCACCAGACTGCAGTTTAAATGTGTGGAACGGAGAATCCACTCACAGCAAGATGCTTCTTTAGCCATAAAATGAATAAATGCAAGATAGATAAGTTTAATGCCATGTTGTGGAACATTCAAGGTAAATTAGTTACAATGGAGACAAGCAGGTGTGTTACTCCCCCACAGTGTGTAGAGGTGGAGTGGAGTGACAGTGCGTGATTTGCTTTGTGTGATTGTGTCTATTGTTTGTCAAAATGAGAAGGTCATCTTAAGTCAGTGTGCCTCCTCTGTGGACATGTCTATATATATGACCCCTCTATATTTCATTTCTATTTTATCTGTGCACATGAAAGACATATGTCATGTTGGACACACTGCATCTGGGACCTGACTCCGCACTGACCTTCAGCACTGTGGCTTTTTATAGTTGTAACAAATGTATGTCTCCTCTGCTATCTCAATCTGTTTTGGCCTGTCCTCTAGATTCACCACATCCCCTTTCATTAGTTTTCTATTTCTGTGTCTCTTACGGTTGTCACTGTCTATAACATATGTTTTGCATTGTCCGACTATAGCAAGTTGCAGCAGAAGGCGGATTAACATTTCAGATGCAAAGATGCTGATTAGGCCTGACTGTGTGCGATTGTGGTTCGCAAGTGTAGTTGTAAATGTGTCATAGCTGACCAACAAGGCCAGCCCTGTCACTCATCTTTATAGAAGCATCTGTTTTTCCATCTGATCAGTGAAAAACACTGTTTATGCTCTTGTCCAATTGACTATAATTATGAATTATACTGTATGGTTGTACCCGCAAAGTATTCACACAATGTTTCCGTACAAGTCTAGCTTGTGAAAAACTTACAGAAGGATTTTCTGCAATCCAAACCCAAGTCTAATTTATAAAAAAAAAAATTAACAAAAAAAAAACAAACAAAAAAACATAGAAATTATAAAAAATGAAATTATGATTTTTAGGCACATTTTCAGTGACATCTAGTTTACATAATATTAAATAAGATATCCAAAATCCCTTCTGTATATGTATTTTATTTTATATATCTAACATGTCAACAAAGATTTAAGTCTGGCTCTTTTCATGTTTCTGTTTTGAATGTCCCAAAAATGCTCAGTTTTGGACGTTTTAACACATAAAATGCCTTATTTCTGTATGACAATATTACAGGATGAAATACTTTTTTTTCTTACATTTCCGTGGCTACAGGAGAAGTTTCAAAATGATATCTCCTATTCATCTGCTATGTCTCACCTTAAAGTTAACTAAATTATAAAGCATGTCCAAACGTTTTTTCCTTGAACTTAAAACCAAATTATGCTTTACATTTGGAAAACAGAGAATAAAAAGCAGAATCAATGTGAAATGTGAATAGAAATTGGCAATGCAAGAAGTGATATTTAAAGAGGTGGAGCTGGTTTGCATCATACAAAAGCAAATTGATCCAGATTTTGAATGCATTTCATTGGTAAAACATCAGCAAGTCAAGGTACAAGAATAGAGGGCATTCAGACGTTTAAAGATGATGAATTGTTTCTTTTTTCTTCAAAAAAACTTTCCTATAAGCCAAAACTACACAAAACTACACACAAAAGCTATCAAGCGTATACTGAGTGTTTTTGTTTACAAAACTGATTTATTGCCTTTTCTATTTTAGTAATGAATGTTTTTATTTTCAGGCGTACTGTGGAACTTGTCGTCATGTGACGCCCTGAAGATGCCAATCATTCAAGACGCCCTGGCCGTATTGACCAACAGTGTTATCATCCCCCACTCCAACTGGGACTCCTCCCCCAATCACCACGAGGACCGCAAGCTCCACCTTCACACGTCCCAGGTCCTCCGCAATGCAACAGGCTGCCTCAGGTATGTGTGCAAAGTCATTCATAACTTATCTGCTGATGCTAACCAAGACATATTTATCCATAGGGATCAAATCATTACTCAGTGCTTGGCAAGTGTGTTTGTTATCCCTTAGCGATACAATATACAGTGTTATTGATCATGTCACGCTGTTGATTTTCTGCTGGGAAACATTAGCGTAGCAATATGCATAACTTTGCATGCTCTATTGAATTGCGAAAATTTGTGTATCTTGCAGGTTTGTGTGCAAGGTAGGTGAAGCCAGAGGTGAAAAGAATACAAATTTTACCCCTAAGAGAAATTATAGAGGGGGTTTTATGCATTTTTTTTTTAGCATTCAGCCATGGTATAACGTTGTTCCTTCATCAACACCATGCATGAAGAGGTTTTAGATGTAATCCATGCATGTTTGAGTATTTTAGTGATCTCTCCCAGGCCTTATTTGAACCGTCCTTGTGGTTAGCAGTGAGCTTCTGTGCAGTGTTCAGACCGTCAGCCTACGTCTTTCATGCTCCCACAGGACAATTCTCCATAAATATATAAAAGCGTAATACAAAGCTATACACAGCAACTTAACTTTTCTGATGTGATGTGCAGTAGTTTCATTAGCGGGATGGACACCAATTGTAATGTGATAGTGCTCTGAAGGGGGAGTGACTTAGTGCAGGGAACAAATATGGCATTTTCTAAACAATAAAAGGTAACATAGTGATCTAAATATGTCATGTGTTAGCAATTAATACCTCATAAAAGTAAAATACCCCTATTTAAAGTAATACATACTACTCACTGGTAATTGTTTTGTTTTAGTTTTTTCTCTAGGTAATCATGCCCAATTGGGAAAATCATTACATATTAATATACCCAGTTTTCATTTTTTTTAATTTTGTGAACGCCATTCTCAACAGAAATTAGAAGTGTTTTTTTTTTTTTTTTTTTACAGAACACATGACATACAGTAATTCATGTTCAATTAAAAGTAGTAATAATTAAAGATAATGACAATATGGTTAAAATGACACAATACAAAAACATTAACATAATTACACTGATTTCAATATTTTAATTTCTTACTTCCACTTCTTTTAATTCCCTCAGAGCATCACACTATGCCGAGGGATCCTGCCTAATTATATATGCACATTTTCACTATGAACAATATAGCGCCTTGTTGTTTCTCCGTCTCTCCCTTTTCTCAACTCCGGGTGGTATCCATAGCAACAACTCCTCCACTCGTGCAGGTCCTTTGGGCGTCGAGACTTTCTAGTTGGTGCATCGCTGGTGCATAAGATGTGTTCACAGTTGTTAAAGCCAGACTTGATGAAGTAACAGCTGTGTAGACTGTGTTAGCGGTGTGATCCATTGCTAAGGAAGTCATTGTTAATTAAAAGATGATAAGAATACATTTTGCCTTGTAGGGAACTGGGTAAAAAACAATACTTCTATAATAATGTAAATGAGTGAAACTTATATATATTCATTTATTCAGTAGCCTTAAGCCACAGCTGCCCTGGGATAGACTGACCGTACTGAGACTGGTCATCTATGCCCATCCTCAATTTATTTATTTTTTTTCTGTAGGCCAATCTGTCAGGGATTTGTCCATTTTTTGGTCCAAGTCTGCCCCTGTATGCCATTAGACTCTCCAGTCATTCAATCACCAATGCCAGTGACAGTATGCAGTGGACGAACAAAATTTGATTAATTTTTCCCCCATTGGGCATAGTTCAGGTTACATACTAAACTAAATATTGGACAGTAAGTTTGATTTTTGGTTCCATATACTTTCACTGTGTAACGTTTTTGGAGGCAGCTATGCCAACTGCTCATCTCTGTGGACTTGTTATTGCTTTGCCAGAAACATTCAAATGTATGGCAGCTTATTTTATTCAATTATTGACCTTTATTTAATCAGGATAGTCCCATGGAGATTAAGAATCTCTTTTTCAGGAGAGTCCTGTCCCAAGAGCAGATCCTATTGCACATGTTTTAGTGGCAGTGGTTGTAGGTATTTACTTCTCCTCCACTTATCTGACCTGTAATTTAGCCTGGCCATGTCACCTGCTTCTATCTCCATGGTGATAGACACATTAAGGCCATACGGTGGAACATTAAACACAAAGCTGTAACATGCAGGTGGCAGACCATCTAAAGATCATGTTTATGCTTAATTGACTCTTGGCAGTTGTACAGTAGACCATAATAACACAAAAACATACTGTAGCACACCAGCACACATTCATACTCTGACATTACAGAGTGTAGATGGTCAGGGGGGCCCTTGTGCACATGGTCATCTCTCTTTCAATCAACCACCAACAGTCTCTTGATTAAAACTCCCTTCTCCCTCCTTCTTCAATTACTGCCCTGTGTCATTTAATGTTTTTCACTGCCTGTCTGAAGATGCTACTTAGGCATTGGGGTTCAATCATGTAATTCTGCCATGTGGTTTCTCGTGTGCAGAGTCAATACTTAAAGGCTCTGAGACTCCATCCAAATGGGACAAATAGTCAAGGAACCTCCAGGCTACATACGCAAAGGCTTAACGTCTCACTGTTTAATAGATGACTGCTACAATATTTATCTTTTTAAAGATTAGTCAACATTAAAAAAAGAAGAAAAAAAAAGTTAATAGCGAAGTTATAAATCAGATCAGTAGAGAGGTGAGCACACTCAGAGAAAGAATGCATGTTTTTCAAGGTATTCGTCGCAATAAAAACATATCTAAAATGTAGTCAACGCAAGATCAGTTTAATGCCATACAGTAGAACATTCCAGGCAAATCAATGAAATTCACCACGGAGACAACCAACTGGCAATTCGATAATATATCTGCGCTGTCAACAGACTTTGTAGGGCCAGGGCTCTTGAGAGAAGCATTTAATAGCATTTAAAGTAACCAAGTGCTATTCTGTTCCTTTCTGTGTACTTGTGTGTTTTGAACTAGTCGGAGTTGTGTTTTTATGATGTTACCTCTCTGGTGTTTCAACGTTTTTGTGGAGCTTTTGTGATTCACTGAGTGGTTTATAGGACTTTAGTGAGAGAGTGTGTGTCTACCTCCAGTATGTGTGGCAAGACAAATGATGCTGTCAGTGCAGTGCTCCACGCAGCAAAGCTAAAGATCCTACTGCAGAAGTGAGGGTGGGAGAGCCAAAAAGTTAGAAAAAGATTAGAGGAGTTGGAGATGGTGAACAATGGGCCTCTGTGACTAACGAGATCTCTGCGCTGAGTCAAAGAGTAATGAAGGTGTCTGGGCTTCTCTATAGTCTGATTTTTCTGTCTTATTTTTGTGTTGGGGGGCATACAGGGACACTGCTAAAAGTATTAGACGAGGTTAGAAAAATGACACATGCAGTCACTATTAAAATCAGGGACATCTAGGTGGAATTTTAAGAAGAAATTGTTTTGTAGTTTAAAATTTACAACCAAACCAGGACTACACCAAGACTGTGAGCACTAAAATTAATGAATTATTTCATATGTAAATGCCAGATGAATTAAGACTAAAAATTAAACTATGACCACTGATCTTAACTTGATTTGTATAAGACCTCATCAAATAAAAGGTTATACCTGGACAAAGATTGAATTGAAATGGGCTCCTTCTATTGGCATTGTCAATACTGCAAAAACTGTATTTATTTAAAGGTCCTATATTACACAAAATTGACTCTTGTGAGCTTTAAAGGTGCACTGAGTATCTTTCCTAGTGAGTGGTCTGTTACCTGCTTGTCTCAGTGGAAATGTTACTGATTTGCTTACAATGTCCCACAGTATGCCATTAAACTTATAATATTTCCATAGCATCAAACAGGCCAAGTTAAAGGTCAGATCAGTGGAATGGCAGCCCTGCTTACATAAGAATGCATGTATTTAACTGGATTTTTAAACACACCTTTTTGAAACAGATGTTAGAGGAAAAAAAGCTTTTAATGCAATACTGTGGAAATTTCCCAGCAAAGCAATAATATCTCCATGGAGACAAGCCGGTAGCATAGCCTCCACCAGTAAAATGCTCCTTTAAGCCATGTTAGAATGTTGTTATCTTCTCAAAAACATACCCCAAGTTATTTAGTTTCATTCACAAATGTCTGAGTAGTCCTGGATTATTAGGCTCCCCAAAGATCAAAATGCTCTGTTCCACCTTGTGATGTCATGTAGTGGTAGTTATCAGCTACCTTTTGCCTTTTTCTCAGTAGAGATTGGCAATTCCAGGCTGAAATGATCCAAATAATTCTAGTGAAGGTGTATGGAGTTTAAAAACACAGTGGAGCACTTCTTGTATTACCACATGACATCACAAGGTCGAACAGTGTTTTCTGTTTGAGAGAAGAACTCAGACTAGGCAGGGTTTGTGTGTTAAATGTGTGTGAATGAAGCAAAACAAAACTCCATGGGAAACAACATTATAACAGAAAAATAGTGTATTGTGGGCCTTTAAATTTTATAGTAATGTTTCCATGAATTATCTTTACTCTTCATCATAAGTGAAGTGGTTCTGAATCATTATGTGAAAGCTGGAACTAGAATTTACACATGATAATAGGAATGAACTGGTGTCGGGGCATCAGGTGTTTTCATTCTGGCCTTGTAAATGTGCGGCTCTCGCTTTGTGATTGAGTGTCTATGTGTGGCCCTATATAAAATGTGGGCCAAGCAGCTAATGATGCTGAAGGACCCATATGTTGTCCAATGGGAATGCAGGCAATAAAGGCACCTTCTCCTCCACACAAGCACATTCACACACATATACCAGCTGCTGTAGAGTCACGTTGTGGCCATTTGTTCCTTATAAGGCATCAGAGACCCAGCTGTCTGAAATCTAGTCATGTTGAGACCAGCTCCCCACGTGTAGCATGGACAAGATGATAAGTGATAATGTAGAACTGTCAGATCCAAATTCTCATAGTTTTTCAAAATGATTAGGTACCTTTTAGAAAAAAATTGTGATATGAGTTTTGTTTTTTGGCCGTGTGCTGAGAGGTGAAACCCAAACTTGGTCC